GTCAATCAGGAATTGTCGATTTCACTTCGCGATTACGATGCATTTCTCAGGAAACACCGGATGTCATCATTCCTCCGTTGATAGCTATTAGTCAGAAAATGTGACCTGCAAGTATTTATGTTTATGCGGGAGCTTGGAAATTTGAGATATGTAACAGTCCTACGTTAGCAAACTATTTATACCTACAAGGAGACACTCTAATGGCATCTTGTGACCCTTATTTATAAAGTCTTGCTATGACACCAGTTGCAGATCAGTTAACTTGACCAGTAACAATTTGTCTAGAGCCTTGCCTAGTTGCTCTCAAAACATATTTTCTTTTTGAGTGAACTAGCAGTTAATAAAAACTCAAAAATAGGATGTAGATGATGTGGCCCAGCATACGTTATGAAGGCCTTCCTGGAGGCAATGTCCTCAGATGAGGCATGCATTAACAGGCATATCGATCTGGATGTGAATTGCAAATTGCTAAAGATCAGATAGATGCAAAAGAAGTCACCGCCTACGACATGATCAAATACGGATGACTATTTTTTCTCCCCCGGACTGCCTAATCCCATGCAAGTGGTAACTATTTTCCCACTGCCCGCATAACCAAATGCGGATGATGATGATCTTCTCACACTCTGATAAACTATATAATCCTGTGTTATTCATCGGTTTAAGTTAACTGTTTTTGTACATATCTCATCCGTCTGAAGACAAACTAGGCAACTAGATACGAAAATTCACCTAATAAACCTTACTTTATCCCAAAGGACTTTATTGCTCATAAAATATAGATATATATACATTTTGGTTCCACCCATGACGTTAACAGTGGCTACGTTGAAAAAGGCAACGAAAACTCGTTTGCCCGGACCTCGAGGGGAAAACTTTTTAACTTTTAACCCTGTCTTTTTGACTGCGAGCTAGACAAATGGCTGGCTGCTGAGCAGCTGACTACACCCACGGAGTAGGCTTCCAGTGTTCGTTCTCAAGTGAACTCAATTTCGTTTGGTTTTACGCACCATTGAGTAAATCAGATTACTGCGGATTCACTTGATTCATTCGAGTGTGGGAGCAACCACCAAGGGAAACGCTCTCCCTTGGTGATCTGATTACCCGTCCTCTGGCTGATTAGTTTGCACTACCGGGAAGAAATTATGTTACCTTTACCTTTTTGGTTTCCTTTAGGTATTGAAAACCAAACCAAGCCAAACTTTTGCCACTCAGGACTTTTCAAAAGTTCTTCTGGTAACTGGACCTCACAACAAAACACTCGTAGGAAATGTCCACTTATATTTCTGCTATGGCTCATATAAACTACTGAGAAGTCATTGTAATAGTTCGCGAACGAATGAAGGTGGCCTTTAGTAATCCTTTATCTAGACAGCTTATTTAGCATAACCCATTTGGAAAACAGTGCTGTTTGCATCGCGATCCTCCAGACGCTAGGACAAAACTTCTTAAAAGGATGAGACGTCTCGAAGGTGCATGCCATATTGGCAGCCGTGGCAGGAACCTTTCATGGCTGTCACGTCATAGTGTCTTATATCGTATAAGGGTTTGGAGAAAATCTGTTCATTGCAGCAGATTGTTGGGCAGCCTTGTTTCATTCACGAGGTCCATGTCCCGTGTAACTGACAAGTCCACGTTTCTGTTCTCTTTGAGGCTGGGTAGTGTACCCGACCGGTCCTTCCATTAGTGAACTAACACGCTAAGAAAGGAGAAACTGGGGCCCTTCTCCTAGCATAAACACTCTTTTTCACATAAGACCAAGTGTGATAGCTCCCTGGAATAAAGTGATTGACAGTTGATTCCAGATGAACAAAACAACCGCGCCGGACAAGAAATTGTGTACGCAAGAAACGTTTCCTCTAAAACTATTGTTGAATTAGCGTAGCCATAAGCAAGTTTGTAGCTTCCCTGCCTGCAAAGCAGGCCATGTACTCATAGACGTAAAGCGGTAATTACTGACGGCTGACATAGCCAATACCACGAAACTGCATGTTTTATGCTCAGTAGAATCTACATTACCTACGTTATCCAAAAGCCAAGGTGGTTATGATATGGTTCGTATCAGAGGAACAGAATGTGACATGTAAAATAGCAAACAAATATGTGCAAATTTCCCAAATATCAGCAGCGGTTTCGTAGTTTTCGGTAGGCGTTTCATTGGGGTTAGTGAATTGCCCGTCAGGATGAGTCGTATGACCGCATGAACAGGACAAAGTGTCTGTGGGATAAATTTCAGGAAAGGTTAATATTATCGTATCTTTAACCTAACAGTAACGTGAACAGAACACTAAACCGTAACCAAAATTAAAAACTCAGCCCTACCCTGAATCTAAGACCAACAGCTGATACGAACCTAAACCGTAAACCTTACCATAATCTTGATTGTAATCCCCAAATCTGACCTAGCCATCAACAAAAACATCCCTAAACTGATCAATAACCTTCGCCTGAATTCTAAACCTAATTTCTTTTCAGTTGGCGAAAAGCCATATGTACTGTAATCGGCTGTACTGTTTTGGCAGTCATAGAAGCCATCTTTACCGATTTTCGAACCTGAATGGCGGAATATAAATTAGCAGCCTGCGTTTATAGGAGAGAATATTTGACACAAATAGTAACTGTGTTTTGGTGCACATTGGAATTTTTGGTTTGGATTTGCTGCAAGAGTAGCTTGTGTAGCCCCACTCATTAATCCCTACAACCTGT